AAAGTGAGAAATCCCCCCCCCCCCCGAGGGTGTGATGGACACCACATTCCCTTCTCCTCCATTCTTCCCTGCAGATTTTGGACACACATGCACACACACCCAGAGTGTTTTAAGCCGTGGGGTCCAGGACTCCAACCACAGTTGGCCACGTGGGAGTCCAGCACCTTAGCTACCACGCCACCTGCTGGCCCCGACGTAATCACCTCTTTACAGACCCCGTCTCAGGCACAGCCGTGTTCTTTTTCTTTCTTTCTTTCTTTCTTTTTCTTTTTTTGCTATAGGGCGTGTGCGCTCGCCAGACAGAGAGAGAAATAGAAAGCGAGAAATCACCCCCAGGGGGGATGGCCACGCCGCAATCCCTTCTCCTCCATTCTCCTCTCGGGATCTTGGGCACGCACGCACACGCACACAGTGTGAGTTTTAAGCCACCGGGTCCGGGATGCGAACCGCAGTCGACTACATGGGAATCCAGCAACATAGCCATTACACTAACTGCTGGTCCCACCTTCTTTTTTTTTTTTTAAACAAAGCTTGTTTGAAGATTCTGGTTACTTTTGTTTTATAGTTATGATTTTATTTTAATACTTTTGAAAAGAACTATGTTTATTTAACTTTATTTATTGTTATTATCATTATTTATTTTAATTTGACCACAGAAAGACAGCGAGAGACGGAGAAGGAAAGTGAGAAAGCGAGCTGCCTAGTCTGAGACTCAAACCACAGTCAGCCATGTGGGGGTCCAGCCTCCTTAACCACCACGCCACCTGCCAGCCCCAGACACAGCCACATTCTGAGGCACTGGCGGTTTGGCCGGGGGCTGGACAGTGGGGCCAGCACTGGGGCCAGCCCTGTGGCCTGTGGCTGGAGAAGACAATCCCACGTGGCTTCCTGCTGTTCAGATCCTTACGTGGGTGGCTCGAGAAACTGCTGGATGTGTGTGCGCATGCCCTAAATCTCAGTAGGGTGGAAAAGTGGAGGGAGGGGATTGCGGCTTGACCACACCCCACTGGGGTGCTTCCTTGGGTCTGTCTCCCTTCTCTCCAGGCCAGCACACATGCTCTCTGGCAATTCCACACACACGTAACACCCTGTGAGGCTAACCCACGTGGGAAAGCCCCAGGCTTGCGTCCAGAGACCTCTCTTTACACACCAAGCACACGTGTCCCATGACCCAGGGCTGGCTCAAGGCTGGGGGTACATCGTGATGTTAGGACACTCTTGGGCGTTCATTCTCCACGGAGGAAATAAGCAAATAAACTTTAGAACCTGTGGGTTTGTGCCACTCGTGCATCGGAACTGACCGCATGGTGCTGCAAGCCTGACCCGCCCTGGCCTCGCCAGCGTCTGACCCGTGCGCACGTGTACGAGGGCGCCGCATGTCTGTGGGCTCGGACACACCGCACCTGCTGCAGTGGCCCGCTGGAGCATCCCAGCGTCGGCCAGGTTCGCCCTGTTACCAGGGGCGAGGCTGCTGCTTCCCTCTGTCCCAGATTCAGGGCCTTATAAATCTTTAAAGAGCCATCCCTGTCTCGGCTCAGCCTGCCCCTCCTCAGAGCTCTTTCATCTACATGTGGAATCTCTCCCCCGCTGATTCCACACTCCGCAGCGCCTTCCCCTTCACCATTGCTGGGCCTGACTGGCTTCGGATTCTTTATCTCTAACAACACCTGCTGTGCCTAGATTTTGAAACTGCCCTCATTCCGACTGAGCAAGTGTCACCCAAGGCTTCAGGTGACTCTCACCTTGCCCGGTCTGCAGGAGAGAGCTTGTCCCATGTCAGCGCGTCAGAGAGGCAGTGTTCAGTCACCCCAGTGGCATCCAAGCAACACCCTGTCCCCACCGACTATGGCCCATGTGGCCCCCTCCCCTCTCTTCCCGGTGCCCAGCCTGCGTGTCCCTGGAGAGGCAGCCAGGGAGCTGTGTCAGGGCGCCTGAGCAGCTCCTCACTGCTCCCCTGCACCCGTTTCTGTCTTGCAGCTGCAGAGCCCTGCTCCGTGAGCAAAACCCGGGCGCCCGAGCAGCCAGCGCGGCCGCAGAGCGCAACTGCAGAGAAGCCGATCACCGAAGCGAGCGTGTGTGCGTGTGTGTGCGCGTGTGCAGAGGAAGGCGTGCTGTGCCCGTGTGCGTGTGCATGCATCTGTTGACACTCGTGGTTCTCGACGCTGCCTGGCTGGAGGAGTACCTGGGGCACACTCACCGCGAGTGCTGCTCCCTGGCCGCCGCTCAGGCTGGAGGCCACGGCCGTGACTTTCAGTCAAGACCTGTCGTGGCGCGCCAGCTGCCTCGGCTGCACAGAACGCGCTGGGACCCTTAATTGGGATTCTGGCTTCCGCCACCCAGACCTCGCTCCTTCCTCGCCATCCGAGGGTGCAGGAAGGCAACATTTTTGGCTCTTGTCCAAAGCGTGGGGTTCTCAGGCAGCCAGGGTCCTGCTGAGTTTCCGCTTTCTGACCCTGGAGCTGGGCAGGCCGCAGTGTTGGGATGCGGGCCAGATTTCGCCACCTGGCCCTGCTTCCTTCTTGGTTTAAAATTCCCTGCCCCCAGGCCCTCCAGACCCTGCTTTGGGCATCCAGGCCTGAACACAAGCTTGGGAGACAGCTGAAAGTTTCCTTCATCGTGCAGAAATACAGCCGGACGCCAGCTGGGGTGCCGGCCGCTGCTGCGGGGAGCAGCCCAAGAGGGCATGGCTGCCTTTCCAGGGCTTCCAACCCAAGGCGAGGACGAGGAGCCCCACTCTCCCTGCCTTCCCTGGAAGCTGAGGGCGGGGCTCAGTGCCTCTCCGTGGAGGAGACCTGGCTCCTCTGGCCACTCAGGCAGCACCGTGTCGCCACACTGCTGGCGAGGACGGCCTGTACCCAGCTGGGGAAGCCAGCCCAGGCACGATTCTGCTCAGCATCCGAGCCGCCATGTCACCCGTGCCTGTACCTGGGCTC